TTGGAAGTTATTGGGGATGTTGAGTCCATTTCTGACATTTACAGGATCAACAATGGCAGTTTTAACCAGAAAGAGGTCATATCTGTTCTCTCTGTGGACTGATCCTGATGCCTTTTGGGTCGATTAGGAAGATTTAGAGGACTCTGGATCATCTGGATTGGACAGACTGCTTATTTATTTGAATATAAATTGTCCACAGTAGAGGTAGTAATGTTCATTTCTGTATCCAATGGTCCAACAGTCATATAACCAGTCCGCAGAGGGAACAGAAGTGTTCTCTTTCTGGTTAAATGTGTCATGTTTTATCCTGAAAATAGAATCTACTTAGTGGTTTCTCAACATGTCCGGGTTCCCAGCAGGACTCTGGGCAGTGAAGAGATGCTAACATTAGCCTAGCGCTGCTAGCCGGTATATCACATACAAAGACCGGATATAAAGATATAATATAAAGAGTTGTATTAACAGGAGGACCTTGAGCTTGTTGAGCAGACCGTTGTTCTCCAGATTCTGGATCAGAAGATCCCGCAGCTCCGTGTCGTCCTCTGTGGCCGACATGATGACAGCTAACTGCTAACTGCTAACAAATCAAAACAAACCTTCTGCTTCCGGTTTACTGCGGCCTATTGCTTAAAGGTGCAATACCGCCCCCTCTGGATCTGTGTACTTCTACTTCTACTGGAGTACAACATCTGTATACTACTAAAGTACAAGACCTGAGTACTTCTACTTTTACTCAAGCACAAGATCTGTGTACCTCTTGTATGCACTACATGTTTACAACAGCAGAGGAGAATAGACCTACTCATTAAAAAGTATGCACACATTATTAAAAATAAAAGAACACAATAAGAACACCATGCGGAAGAAAGTTACCAATAAAGAAGTAGCTGTACTGTACTGAGAGAAAAAGTGAGGAGGAGGAGGAGGAGGAGGAGGAGGATGGTGATGATGATGATGATGATGATGATGATGATGATGATGATGATGATGTTACTGCATCTGTATTTCGCCTACGAATAATATGAAGAAGATGGATGTGATGGGGTACAGACAGACTGAAGAGGAGGAAGAGGGGGAGGAAGAGGAGGAGGAAGAAGAGGAAGCAGTATCATCAGTCTGATAGACTGAGGAAGAGGAGAAGGAGGAAGAGGAGGAAGCAGCATCATCAGTCGGACTGCCGGCGGATCACGGAGCCTCCTCTCCCGCCTGTGAGCTCCTCCTGCCGGACCCAGAGGAGCCGCAGCCCCGCAGAGCCATGGAGGAGGAGAGCAGACTCACCTCCTGCACCGGGTCCAGCCTCCTGCAGCCACTCAGCGACATCACCAGCCTGCCTCTGGACCAGGTAACCGGGGGGAGAGGGGAGGAGAGGCTTGGGGGAGAGGAGGGGAGGCCGGGGGTCGGAGCACCGGGGAGAGAGACACTCAGAGTGGGGAGAGAGGGGAGGAGAGGCCGGGGGGAGAGGCACTCAGAGCGGGGAGAGAGGAGAGGCCGGGGAGAGGGACACTCAGAGCGGGGAGAGAGGAGGGGAGAGGGCGGGGAGAGAGGAGGGAAGAGAGGAGGGGAGATGCCGGGGAGAGAGACACTCAGAGCGGGGAGAGAGGAGAGGAGAGGCCGGGGAGAGAGGAGGGGAGGCCGGGGGTCTGAGCACCGGGGAGAGAGGCACTCAGAGCGGGGAGAGGAGAGAGGAGAGGCCGGGGGAGAGGCACACATAGCGGGGAGAGAGGAGAGGAGGGACCGGGGAGAGAGGAGGGGAGGCCGGGGGTCTGAGCACCCTCTGAGGAGACGCGTTACAGGCTATAAAGCGAAGGCTATTTAAATACATGTTTTACAGAAGTACACATTCAGGGAGAAGCAGCATGGCGTGTGGCAGATAGCGGGAATGGTTATTGCAAATCATAATAATAACGATATTATACTGGAGGCATAGGCTACTAATCGTTTTCATGAAAAATATAATATTTTCTTAAAGCATAAAAAATAATTTTAATATAAAGCACAGAGTATTAAAATACATGTTTTATAGTAGACATGGAGAAGCAGCAGGAGTAAAGATAAGATCAAATGTACTTTTGGGTACAAGTTGGGAATATAGTATAATGATCATTGCACACCATAATAATAACAATATTATACTGGAGACATAATCATCTTTTTTTAAACATTGAAAAATATTACATTTTTGGGGCTTTTTAAATATAATTTTCCACTGAAACCTTTTTTTGCATAATTTCGCAATTTTTTCCTCAATATTTTTGGAATTGACTCATGATCTGTGGGATGAAGCTGTCTCTGAGGCTGGAGCTTTTAGACCTGATTCTTTTAGAGCGGATGCAGGCGTTACTCTGCTCTGTGTCTGGCAGGTGAACTTCGTGGCGTGTCAGCTGTGTGCGCTGCTGTCGGCCTTCTGGTTCCGTCTCTTCCTTCCTCCCAGCAGCACCAGGCCCTTCACCAGACACCTGGTGGCCACCGGGCTGGGACTCTACTTCGCTTTCTTCTGCTTCGGATGGTGAGGGAAACACTGTGGTTAAACAAAGAGGAGAATAAGGGGGGGGTACCCTGGTTGCTGATTGGCTAATGGGTACACAAGACAAAACATCGTTATGACATCATAAAAATCTGATCAGCTCATTTTCAGACAGGTTTTTAGAAATGGATCAAAAAGAGAGAGAATCTTTATTCCTGAAACTTTCAGAGTCTCTTTCCACAGAGGGGACACATGTTGATGTAGAAGAGACATGAAGAAGAGGGGACACATGTTGATGTAGAAGAGACATGAAGAAGAGGGGACACATGTTGA